GGAAAAAAATGAAAATAAGAGTGAGAAAAGAAGAATCTGAAAAGCGTAAAATAAACGAGAAAGAGCAGAAGGCTAAAGTAATCAAGGAAAAATCGAAGGAAGAAGATCCTGATAAAACGAAAAAGAAACAACCGAAACGTATAACAATTATAAACGGTGATATGAAAGTGGGAGAGTTAATCTGGTACTGTGTGTGCGTGCGTGCGTGTGGGACGAAATCGCGGAAATAAACAAATACATCACAAATTATTATATTGTTTATGAAGGCCTGTAAAGATCGGACACAAAGCGCCAAATAAGTTTGATAGAATGGAAGGACTTGGCTTGAAATTTAAACTTGATACAAGATTGATGATCGATGGTTTGGATCATGGTGGAATAAAAATAGAGGTGAGCTCGTCAGGTACACCAAGTTTTGATTCGTTCTGCGCACATATGGCGTTGGAACAAGTCGCCTTCTATATTGGAATATAATTATAGTAAAGGAAACGAATTTGAGACTGACTTGTGATTTATTTTTGTAAAGAATGGTGGTGTTAAAGGGTGTAAAAATCGCAGTGAAAATGCGAAAGTAAATAAAATAAAGTTTTTTTCGTTTCCAAAAAATAGTGACAGCGGCAAAATGGATGAAAGTTTGTGGCAAAGAGGTTAACCTCAAAAGTGGTAAATAATATATAAAATAAATGTTATTAGTATAATACAAATTTATATTACAAAATATAAAAATTATTTAATTAAAAAATGTTTTAGGACGTATTTGTTCGATTCATTTTCTTCCAACGTGCTACAAAAAAAATCCGAATATCATGGAGATTATTCTCCAACAACAGTTAGAAATCTTTTACCTGATGCTCTTCCGACAGAGAATATAAAAAAAAAAATGTATTTGTCGAAAGCGAGAGAGTTCTAATACAGGAAAAGAAAACAGACCACATTTTGAGTATCGCGGAAAAAACGCTGATTGGCTGATATATTAATATGGCAGGCCACTTGTTCCACCACCGTCATTGGTTAATCATCTCCTTGCGCAACAGCACACCTCTATTTTATTCCACCATGGTTTGGATATAGGAATAGTTGGAATGTATGAAACTATAGATGAAAAACATCGCCTTACAATGGGAATTTTCCAACAGAGTATACAAGCGACACGGAGTGCAACATAGCGAATCATTACATCCTTGTTGTTCGTCAACGTTAAACAAAGATGAAATGATCACTGTGTTACACAGTGTCGCTTATTGGAAAGCTCCCCAATATCACCAAATACCACCCAATGGGCGCGTTCAGCGGACTCAACAGTTGAGTGAGCGCTTGCTGTTATTGGTGTATTCTTCTACATCACCCAATTAAAATTTCAGATCTACAAATGTAAAAGAATACATCAATAACAGCGAGTGCTCACTCAACTATTAAGTCCGTCGAACGCGCCCAATATGGCGTATGTATAGCATTCTTATGTTTCTTTATACAATTCGTTTCCCATTTTTTTATGAGTCACCTTCATCATTAAAAACTATTTTTTAATTCTAATATTATGTTCGATCACATTATTTTGAAAACATACATAATAATAACTTACTTGGCGTTATGTTTCTCTTACAGATATGAACATATGAAGATTATGGACCTTTAATTTCACCTTTTTCTAAACTTATCATTATATGTATATGATATTAAGCTTATGATGGTCGAATAAATGTCAATAATTTAGATATTACTTATGAATAGTTTTTTTTTTAAATGAATCTTACTACTACCTCATTAGGATATCACATTTTTTATCTTGTATTTTAATCAAAGACTTTGAATTTTCGACAGTTTCTCTTCTATACTTATAAAGCATTTATAAAATTTGAATATATAATATATATATAAATTTTAATGACTTAATAATTATCTTTTCATTAAAAATATTTTAATCCTATAGATTTAAGTCTTTTATTGATAAGATATTGTTTATAAGGATTATTCAGAATAAATACTAATTATTAATTGGTGGACTCGTGGATTACCAAAGAGAGATAATAAACGTTTCGATAATTCTATATAAATATCTGTGAACGGATTATATAATAATTCAATATTAAATTTACAATTTATGGATATTCCATAAAAATTAGCATATCTCTCTGTAATATAATTATACTCTAACTGTACTAACTGTATTTTATAATACAAAAATATTTTTTCTGTAATTGTTTCATACATAATAAAACATGGAGATCGAAGTGCAAATTTAATTGAAATACATATGTATGAAACAAATAAGTCATAAATTTAGTATCATAGGTTGATTAGTTTTATTGACGTTTAGTATTGAGAACTAAGTAAAGTATTTGTAAATAAAGGTAATTGCTATACTTTGTTGTTTAAATATTTTTATGTGCTCATCCTTTAAAATTTAATTACAGCTTTAAATCATAAACTAAATTAAAATAATATTGGAGTAAAAATTAATAAAAGAACGTTTGTATATATTATATATTTATTCTATTATACATAAAATAATGGTACTTTATTTAACAAATCTTGGTATGTGCACATATGTATAACAAAAAGACCCTTTACAAACCACATAGCTAATCTTTAATGTGTTTTAATACATATAAAAAAATGTTTTAATTCAACATACTGACATCAAATATTATCACATTACAAAGAACATACATAGCTCGATTAATTGAAACAAGGAATTATCTCATTTTTAGTCAAATATGGATCGATTAATATCTTAAGCGATTCTCATAATAGAATGTATTTAAATTATATAAATTTCTGTTTTTTTTTAACAAAAATGTAAGCGTTGATGTAACCCATGTAGATTGTGCAAATTGCATGTATCGAAGAAAGCAACTCAGTGTTTTTACTCGCTTTTTTTTACCGTATCACCTTTATCTTTCCATGATAGAGTGCATGTTCCATTTTTGCATTCCTTTATCAAATCTGGACACGGCTGATCTTCCTTGACCTCCTGTCCTTTACTTCTCAACTGCCACCATTTGATCAATAACGGTTGTATAAGGAACCTCCATATTATTAGAATTATAGGAACCGCAAAGCATGGCACGCACACCATTCTGTATCTAACTTATTTTTATGATCTAAAATCATAGAGAAGCAATTTTTTTTTTAGAAAAAGAGGGAGAGAGATGACAAAAATGTCAAATATCCATCTCAGAGCGACAGTACAGCTGCAGCTCGCAGATCGCACGATCTCAATCATCACCTATCATCGTTTCTTATCACCACTGCGTTTGCTGTACACGCTCACTTCCGAAAGTGCGGAAAGAAGGATGATTTCTTACCTCGAGGGAAAGAATATTGAGCCTCCACGGGACAACAATCGGTCAAATGTGAAAGAGATCGATATGAGCATAACCTGGACGAGATCGTAGAGTAGAAAACCTAAAATGTTTCTGACAAATGCACAAATATGTCGATTTTGTAAGAGCAGATACTATCGGTGTGTCCAGCTAAAAATCACTGCTACAGATGACTACTTGAAACGTCGATTCGTTTTTTAATTTTAACGTTTCATCCCTTCGACAATTCGCTCCACCTGTCATTCACCAATTGATGTACAATACAAACATATACACCATGCATATACATAGAAGCATACGACACATATCCATTATACGACTTCCTTCGCCCGTCGTTCGCAGCGCCGCGCCGAGCGCGACTAGCTTGGAGAGTGCTTGGACTAGTGTCAAATTGGCGCGCGCAAGTTACTAGCTAGCCTTGGGGTATGGCTCGATCCGACTAAACTCTGATTAACTTAATTAGAGATTAACTTGTCAAGCGAAGTTTATATTTTTTTAAATTAAATAGAATTATATTCTGTGTTATTTAAGATATGGAAAACAAAAAAATTAGATCAGAAACAACATTTTAGTGAGAAATTTTACGGGGTAATGTAATAATAAGTGATTCAATACTGAATTAATAATCAGTAATTAGCTTATTAAGTAATATTTTATTAATGTGGATTATTTTTTGTTATACTTAATCTCTGCTCTGTTTGAGCTTATTGATCCAAACTGTAATTTATTTTCTTACTAATTAACAAATTTTTCGTCTGTTTCATTAACTCTGTTTATTAATGTAAAATGTACCTTCTGTGAAATTTTTTATTAGAACTTTTAATTATATATTGATACAAATAATATGATTGGCCTGGTTTACATCGTGCACTTGATACGCGTACTAACTATAGTTACTTTCTATTAAATTATCTTAATTTCAGCAATGTATTTAAAGAATGATTTATAAAATTGATACAATACGCATCAAAATGTTTAACTAAATACGTTTATTGTGTATACATTTACATATATCGCCGAAATTAAGATAATTTAATAGAAAGTAACCAGTTAGTACGCGTATCAAGTGCACGATGTAAACCAGGCCATTGTACAATAAATTAATTGAACAAATCAGTAAACCAGAGTTAATATACAGAAAAAAAAGATCAAAGACAATGAATTATACAATTTTACTTCGAACAGTTCTGTATAGTTGAATTAATCGTCCATTAAGTTAACTGGAGTTGTTCATATACAGTCGAAGTCGTCCTGGTTCTATATAGGTACCCGTTTTTTTTTCTTTTGCACGACGTCAATCAACTGTTAACGTTATTCGCACCTGTTCCTGCGAGAAGTCTAATTTATCGATATTTAACACGATCATGCGCTATACGATATTTAACACTATACGCATGCAAAAGAACATGGTCACAGCCATATATCGTGATTGCAAGATCTTTTTCGTGTTTATCACGTTTAATACATATATATGTACATATATATATTTTAAAGGCAAAAGGCATAGATATGTATATAATAGAACGAAAGAATTTGTATCGCAAAATGTTTATGCGGTAAGAGTAATCGAAGAGTGTTCCAATTCGACTGATCAGTTCCTTTAATTTTACGAGAAAAAAATATTCCCGAACAAATGTTAGATCACGCGGTGCGTAAGCTCTTGCCTTTTGAATCTTACATGCTCCCAAACACCTTGCGACCCCTCGTTACAGATAACGAGACGACAACGACGCTCAACACGAAAAAAACTAGACCGAAGAGAGTTGTCAGAGCTCTGCACCATTGCCGCTTCCGTTTCGCTCTCGCAATCGTCCGGCCTAAACGCTCGGTTTGCGTCACGTCGAGCGTGAAGTCAAAATCCTCGCCCAGGCCTCGAACAGCTAAGCGACGATTCCAGTCGTTCGCGCTCAACGAGGCAATTGTTCCTTCGGTGGATGACCTGACGTCGCTGCATATTAACTGTTGAAATAATGTTCCTCCATACAGTATGACTATATATACGCTTGCTGAACATTGATTGAAAATATGAATATTTCAATCTTCAACTTGATACGCTTTATTTTTTTCTAATTTTTAGAATTAAAAGAAGATGAGCAAGAGAAAGTTAAACTGAGATAAAATTTAATCTACGTTGGTGAAAACGAGCATTAATCAAACAATGTAAATCCGAAGAATGTTTTCTTTTTCAAAAAGCTATAATGCTAATCTAATCGAACCCAAGCGAGAGAGAGCTAGTACTCACCGTTGAATACTTGGACTCGGTTTCGCAAGCTTTCTTCCTCGCGGAGTCGTTTCTCGTTTCGTTGTCGTCTTCGCGTCTCATCGCCTTGTCGTTCTTGAGCAACGATGGCACGGATCGCGCGTTGTACTCGTACAGGCAACGAGGGCTGACACAGAGTTTCGAGTTGATTGGATTCACTTTCGATGGTACGTTCTTCACGCAGCTCGACGATACCGTTGGATTCTTATCATTGAACGCCCAGGATGGGCAAACGTACTCGTACACGTTGTTGTTCCTCATACCAATCTCAAAGGAAACAATACGCGATATATCGCGCAAGATATCCTCCGGTGGCGTTGTGACGTTGCCATCTATCACAGAATTGAGAGTTCGGGATAATTCGAGCAGCACCTCACACGTTCTCGATGGTGATGATGTTAGCTGCGGCTGCGGTGGCGAATAATTATACGTGCAATCGCATACGCGACACGTATAAATACCTGTTACGATAAATAAAAACGCGCTGCGATAAACGAGATTTTTGAAAAGTGAAAGTGAAAACACAGCGAAGTCGTCACTTCCGTTATACCTTCGTAATCGCCTGCACTGTGATCCTCGGTATGATGATAGATGACGGAAGGCCAAATGGGCCGTGGTATCGCTTCACTCTCGTGAATCACCGCTAGGCTACCGTACGATGGATCCCTCGTTGATGCCGACGTGTAATAGGAGTACGAGCCGGCCGACAGTGGCGGCGAATGGCTCGAGTAACCGGAGCTCGTCGACGTTCTGTAACATCTTCGTGGATTATTGCGCGACGCCGTTGACTTGCTGCCCGCGATGCCGCTCACGAATTTAGAAATCTCTACATCTGCCAAGTCCGATCTTATCCTGAAAATTATTCCGTCAAGTATGATGGACAACATGCAATAAATATACATACATATATCGTTGAATATAGTTTTATTAAATTGGAGCAAAAAGTATGTTATATCGCGTTTCTCGTATAAAACTTCGAATAAAATACAACTTCCATTTTTATTAATCGAGAAAATCACCATTTGGTTTCAATAGCCGCGTTTAGTAGAATTTATTTTGTAACGTTGGAAGTTTTTTTTCGCATTGTTTGGCTTGTACTTTCAGATCTAGAGAAATAGTCTTATCTTTCAGTAAAGAAAATTATTTTCAACATCAATTACAAAATAAACATTCTGCTTTACCAGAAGCTATTAATCGTATTTCTTTCGTTTGAAATTTGAAAAGCAGTCTTACTTTTAGAAGCTGGGAGTAATAGAAGTGACTTATTGTCACTCTTCTATGTCTCGAAATACAATGATTAGCTAAGAACTGACGTTATTTCTAATTGTTTAGATTTTTGTCAAGAACGTTTTTATATATAGATTATTTTATATATAGATTTATAAGAAATATTTAACATTACAAAATGCGTGATATCTCGACAAAATTACCTTTTTAAAAAAAGGAAAAAAGGCGCCAAGTGCAAAAATAAAATAAAAAAATGAATTGAAACAAAAATGAAATAAAATCTTTTTAGATTGCGCCAAATTATGGAAGGAATATATTTTCCTGCCATATATATAACATATACTTTACTTCAAAAAGTAAAAGTACAAAAAACTTGGCGCTGCTAGACCTCAAAATATACAATAATAAGATGGTTATTAAATAATTCCGAATATAAAAAATAATGAAAAGATTTAAGAAAGAAAATGCAGTATTAAGATGCTATTGGATTAGGTATATATTCACTTATTATCAATATTTTGAGGTCTAACAGCGCCAAGTTTTTTGTACTTTTACTTTTTGAAATAAAGTATATGTGTTATATATGTATATGGCAAGAAATTATATTCCTTCCATAATTTGGCGCTAACTAAAAAGATTTCATTTCATTTTTGTTTCATTTCATTAATATGGCAAGAAAATATATTCCTTCCATAATTTGGCGCTAACTAAAAAGATTTCATTTCATTTTTGTTTCATTTCATTTTTGCACACTTGGCGCCTTTTTTTCCTTTTTTTAAAAAGGTATAATTTTGTTGAGATAAGAACTGATGTTATTTCTAATTGTTTAGATTTTTGTCAAGAACGTAATGATCGAAGACTTGTACCATTCGATGTCGTACGTAGGTTCGATCATAGATGAGGCGGCATAAACGCGTCTAATATCGACTTCTGCATCTCCGGGATCGATGCGACTGCTGATTCCAGAATCGCGCGGGATCGCCGCTCGCCTCGCTACGCCGGCACTCGGACGCATCCCCCGACGGCACTCGGTGGCATTCGGTGGCATTTGGACGCTACCTGACGCTACCGCAGGAATCGGACGCAAGCTCGTCCAAGGCCAGCTGCTGGAACCATCGCCGCATGCTCAATCATCGCAGCTGCGCGGCTTTTGTAGTCGGCGGACGTGGATTCCTACAGGCCATAGCGATCGGTCTCTTCTCTGCTTCTTATCGAAAGCGAATCGTGCTTTATATGTATGAATTTATATATACACGTTTATTTCATCAGACAATGTTATCGAACGCGCGCGTGTGACGGATGATCCACGTTTCAAGGTCGCTTTCACATTCGGTCGTGTTCACGTAAGAAATCGGCCAGTGTAAAGCACCTATTACGTTATTCGGGACGTGTCGAACGAGCGAACGTTAATGGAGGTCATCGTCGTCCTTTTTCTTCGAGCTTATACGTTATTGCCATCTGACCTCCTCTTCTCGGTTCTTCTCCGCGTAACGATCATATCGGTATCCTCGGCACGAGCCGAGGGACTTGTCTCCGGCGCAGCGCGGCGCGGCGCGGCGCCGCCGTGTCAAATTTCGACAACGTGACGTACGAGGCGAAGAGAAAGCGCGGATATGCGAGAATAGCTTTCGAATTAGGTCAACTTGAGTAATGGAAAGCGCCCTTTGTGTTCATTACGTTATAAACTTCGTGTTGTTCGTATAGTATATATATCGCGATACGATGTCCAATTATCCGCCAGCCATTCTGGTTCTTTTCGAAGCCGGTCCTCGAAGTCACGATTTTCCAGACATCGCTATCGCGATAAATCGATCAGCCGTTTACTCTGATCGGTCAAGTCCAATGAGCATTACCTCGTAACAAGAGATACGTACGTAGATATGTACGTAATTATTATCTAGGAGACGTGTGGATCAGCTGTTGCAGCGCTCGACCATTCCATCATCAGCAGCCAGACGGCCAGTAGCCAACCACTTTCACATCAGCACCAATGCTTACGTATTTTAACACCCTAAAATATCACATAACGTTAATAAAAGCTTCGTAAAGGTGGAACAGTCCTTTCGCATAAATCATCAATTATCACCCCTGCACGATAGATAATATATTATATTATAATATTATATAATATATAGCTTTCAACAAACAAATTCGAATAATCTCTGGGTATAAATTAATGCGATTACTTTCACAATAATTCTTCCCGTAACTTTGTCGACTCACACCCGTTTACCTTATACCAATGTAAATTAACTTTAATTTTGATTCAACTTATAATCTTCATCTTTTTCTCATTCTTAGAATTAAAAAAAGATGTAGAGTGTTAGATAAGGCGAGATTAAAGTTAATCATTGGTATATAGAAAACGGGTATAAAACTGACAATCCGCAATTCAATTGCGGCTGTTTTTATTTTTAAATTAAAAACGCGTACATACATATTTCGTGTATAAACGTCACGTAACATAGAGATACGTACATGTATATGATAATCTTTTACATAATCTTTTATATAAATGTCGAGATAAGTCAAGAGAAAAGCAATGCGGAGACGTGAATTATTATAATTGATTGCGTTCAATAGAAGAAGCATCTTTGCAACTGTTGTAAGGTTCTGTAATACGATTGCAATTCTTCCTTAATTTTCTACTGGATCTAAACGATGGATAATCAGTCATATTAAAAAATCTTTACAGCGGTAAATCTTTTCAAAGCTACTTTTTCAATCATTGTTTACGACGTTTACGTGAATACATTTATCGATGTACGTGAGTTACAGCACTCAAACCGATTGCGAGAACGCTTTTTCGCGCGTCTAGAACGATAACCGCGGAGCATATAAACGTCCTTTTTAAATTTAAGTTACACGATATTGCTTGTCGCTTCCCGGCAAAACGATATAATGAATGCAATCTTCGTGCGGGTTGTTGACGAGCGTCACGCAAAAGAAATAACGCAAAGATCTTAGCATATTTTCTCCTCAAAGAGTTCCACGGCCTTTCTACGGCAGCGGTTATTATATATGTGCATGCGAGGGAAGATATTATAGGTATACGCGCACGAGACAACCCGAGGCAGGTATACGCAGTCACGCACAACGTGGCCGCCGTGTCATCGCCGAGCGGCGAACGGTAAGTGTACAGCTCGGTGGAACGAAACCACGAAAAATATTTAACTCATGGACTTTCACTCGCACTCATTCAGAGGACCGTTGACGGGAAAAAGATCGTTACTGCCGCACACACCGCTCGTACCGCCTCGTTTCGCCTCCGACCTGGCTCGGGACCGGGATCGAGCACCGAAAGATCCTTAGCTATACGACCGCTTTCGCAAACGTCGAAAGTGGATGACACTTCGACTGTTTTCAGAAGAAATCGTTGCGGTTTATGGTATCGCGTTCCTTTCTCAAACGCGGGATCTCCTTATCTATTTTCATATACTTACTATGATCCTAATATATTCGAATTGTGGTAATCAGAGCTTCGCGCAATCATCGAGCGCAACGATAACGTTTTGTGTCCAAGCAGTTTTATTTCGTCTCTCTCATATCTCGGTTTTCCGCGCTGATTCAAATTTATTCATGTTCACGGGTCTGTCGCGAAATCGCAAACATCAGAAGTCGGTACTTTCATTTCCAAGCGCGGTATTTATTACACGTATACGCGCGACAGATCCAAACTGTTGCTTGAAGAACGACATGCCGATTGCAACACAGCAGCGCGCTGTACGAGCAGAAATACTTGGAACATAAAGAAAGAAAGTGACAATGATTTATGCTATTGTTGATTAAGTAACATATAATAACAATAATGCAAAGAGATTTCTCGTAATGCGAGAAACAAAGTAAGAGATAGAAGAGAGATACGCGTTCTTCTTGCTTCTTATACATGTAGAATATTTTTTTCTATACGCGGCTCACAAAAAACGCGTGCATGATAATCGTTCTAAAGGCGCGGGAAGGAGGATTCGTACTCTGTGTGAATGATCTCGTTTATCGTCGTGGTTTCTATGTGTTCTCTGATAGCGTATCGTATAATTATACGTAATATACCTTTCTGTCCTTCTACCTTTTCTCTTTCTCACATCCTTTTACTTCTCATTCTCATCTTCGTATCCGCGCCGCTGTAGAGGATGCACACACGGGGAACTTTCACACGCGCATCGCTTCGACTGCATCCACTGTTCGCGCTCGCGGCGCGGCGGTCCAAAAGAAACTGAAAGACTCGACCAGTGATGGCAGTGATCGCAGCGGCACGATACTGTCACCGAGATCGCCTTCTTTTTCGTATCGTGGGGGTTGTATCCTGGTCGTTCGTTTTCTTTTGCACGGCAAATTTGTTTATTTTATTCCTTGTATATTTTTTCTCCTTTTCGCATTTGTTTCCATTTTTGTATGTGTTTTCACCTGTTATATATATACAATATATATATATATATATATGAAATTTACAGGATCCGTTTATTTATAATGGCTTGTTCTTCCGTTTCCCTGCTTATCGTTTCCGGTCACGCATTAGTCTTAGACTGTCAAGAGTTTTGGCGAGGGAAACTTGTTTAAGAGATACAGAAAAGAAAAATTCCTTAAATTAAAATTTAATATACTAATAATTATTAGTCCATACAGTCCTCGATCATTAAAAATACCATAGAGTCGACGACAGATAGAAAAGAGAAGAATAGTGGAATCTACAATACGTAATATAAAGACCAAATATTGCAAAAATACATAGTTGCGTTTATAATAGTTTGTTCTTTTGGGTAAGGCGTACGAATAAAAAATTCACTAGAATCAGCAATCTACTCTAGGTCATCTGTGAATTTATTCTGTTGCACATTATTTGTTAGTTGGTATATATCCATATTGTATACATCACATCCTTTTATATATAAGCACAGAGTAAGACCCCAATAGTTTTTAAAAGGTGTGTAGAAATTATTCGTTTGTCTTATACGCAGCAGTAATTAATTCAAGTTACTAGCAGACGACTCAGGAACTATGACAAAATCGCTACAGTCAGCGATGGCACTATTATTTGTTATTAGCTGGTTCCACTGTTTAGGATTATTTGAATATCCACTCGGACAATCCAGACTGCAATTCTCTTGCCTGTATGCTTTGGCTTTATGGGGGTCTCATATATACTTTCGTATTAAACAAGCTATCTATTACTGGCAACAAATTTCAAGATTAATCATTATCATGGATTTTTTAATTGATTTGGTGGCCCTTTCATCGATATTTAACAATTTCTATTGTTATAAGGTAAACATTTAAAAATTTTCTTTTCTAATCCCTAATATTACTTGATATTTGAATACAAAAGTTACTGGATAAGAATACTCTTAATGGCTACAAGAAGTCAAACGCTGTTAACGGTGCGCAATTTAAATACAAAAATATCTTAGATACAAGTTTCGAACGTTTCGGTCCGATTGTTTGGACCATCATCAGCGAATACAGGTGTTACTTGGTGTTAGAGTTAATGTTGGAAGTTGTAATTTTCATCAGGCTAATTAACGATAGATGGCATGATTAATTCATGGAGTAGATGGCACTATCTTTCGATAGTCAGATTATGAAATTTGAACATCGTTGATGCTCGCCCCTTTTCCTAGCGGACCATGGTGGCGTACGGTTGTGTGTAAGCGGTGTGCGATTGTAAGGCCTTGCAACGATGATCTGATTTCGCTACAGATAAGTTTAATATAAGTAATTGTACTAAGGTATATGCACAAAAGTCATTATTCTGTAAGATGTTCATTATAAGCGATTTGTTGTATTGATGCTTTTGTTGTATTATGCTTATGTTATGATTCATGATATTCTATTTCCTTCTGAAATTCATTCATTAAATCTAAAAGGTTTAATTAATGTGTATTGTCTTTCTTTGATTAAACTTAATTAGATGAGTTAATATTGCTCATTAAATTTAACAGTTAATGATATTGAAACGCAGTAATGAATGTAAGACCAAAAGTGGTAAGTGCATCACTTATGCCCATTTCTACCAATGCAGATTAACTTTAATCTCGGTTCAACTTGCTCTTC